CAGGTCTAGTAATAATGAACTCTCTTTGATTTTGTGTATTTGAAAAAGCCTTAATTTCTTCTGTATATTGAGGAGTAGTTTGCTGAATACAGTATTCTTGTTTGATATTAATTTGTTTTTCAGCACTTTGGATATATCATCAGTATTGGTTCATTTTTTGGTTTCTATGGTGAAAAAACTGAGGTTGAGGACAAATAAAGAAAAGAGGTTTTCTTATCCTACTGTTTAGGAGGCTGAAAGTCCAAGTTCAGGTGCTCCCATCAGTTTAGTCTTTGGTGAAGACCTTATGATGTACAGCATCACACTGTCTAGAGCATGAAGGTTTGTGTGTGTGTGTGTGTGGGACACAAGCCAGCACTATGGATTTGAGGCCTATTTTTCTTTTCAATGAGAGGAAGAAGCCCCCATATGAGGTTGTTCCCCCTAGTTTCTCTGCAGTATGGTGCATAGGAGAGATGCATAAATGAGATGCCAATTGTCACAAGTTTATCTGCTATTTTCTTTGTAATCTCTTCTTGATTTTTATGATAGGCTGGTGTTGTAACTTCTCAACCAGGCTTTAGACTTCTCACAGAGGTCTTCTTGTCTATATAGTGCCAATGCAGTGTCTCTGGGGGAAGAAGGTCTTCTAACTTCTTAGTGTGCCATCTTCTGATGTCCTCCCTTTCTTGTGTATTTTACAGCTTGAAGTTCATTCTCTTGGCTCATAATTATCATTTGCTGGCTTTTGTATTTTTACATTCTTGCTCAAAATTATTTCTTTACTCCTCTTATTTTTGTGGCCAACTACTGGCCTCTTTTAAACTTTTTTCACATCAAGAATGATATTGTTTATATTTAAGTTCCACATTTCTATATATGCCAACTCCTGCAGTTAACTTGGCCAGGTTCAGTATCAAAATAGGTTACCTGGGCAGAAACTGGTCTTTATTATTCCTTGAGATACTTGACTTTACTTTATTTCATTGCATTAGAAAGCCAAGGATTACTTGTGATAGTTACCATTTGAATTCTTTAGCTTTGATCACATTATGTGTGTATAATCCCTCCTTATATTTTATAGTGATAAGATCAAAATATTCTTAAATTCTGATATATTTTACAATAAAATCATCATTTATGCAATTAGGAGCTCAAATGAATTTAACACAGGCTAGATAAATTCTCCAGGTATGAATTCTCAGGAGGGGTTTATTTTTAGGTGTGATCTATAATATGTTTGATGCTACATATGGATGAGTGAATTGGTTAATATTCCTAATTAGCTTACATTTTTGGAGCTTAGAGGTGTTTGAAAACATCTGTCTGAATCTTCTGTTGAAGAACATTTTACTTTACATCAGTTATTCTTAATATGTCCTTTGTAAATGCCTACAAGACACAGTCATGCTTCAGAACCTTAAGTTGAACTTCAGTGCCCCAAATGCATTATTTTAGTCTCCCAACTAGACCCCCAGATTTCCAGTCACTCTATTGATTTTTCTAATATATCCTTGATTTTTCTCTTGACACTTAATTGCTTCTTTAAGTGGCCCATAAACAAGCTGAAATACTTAGAGTGATTTTTAGCATTCTCCACCTCAGTATAACAGTATACTGGGCTTATTTGTGTTTGTTTTAAAACAAATATGATTACTTGGAAGTTGAAAGGTGATTTCTTTTTGTAAACTACATTTTTAGTTGTAGATGGACATAACACCTTTAGTTTATTTGTTTTTGTTTTTAATGTGGTGTCGGGTATCAAACCCAGTGCTTCATGCATGGTCGGTGGGCCCTCTATCACTAAGCCACAGCCCGGGCCCCTGGCAGGTGATTCTCACATATCCTGAAGCTTGACAATTGTCCTATAAATACATAAAAATATTCTATATATTTGATCACATTTTAGTCAGCTTTGTGTCACTGTGGCCAACAGACCTAAATAGAAAAATTTAGAGAAACAAAAATTCATGTTTGTTCTTGGTCTCAGTGGTTCAGTCCATGATTGGCTCCCTTCATAGTTCTAGTCCAAAGTGAAGCAGAAGAATGTGGCAGAGAAAAGCTACTTAGTTCATGACAGCCAAAAAGGGTGTGGGGGGGAGAGAGAAAGAGAGAGAGAGAGAGAGAGAGAGAGAGAGAGAGAGAGAGAGAGAGAATCTACTCATCAGGGACAAAAGGAGCACTCCTTGTGACCTTCTTCCTCCAGTCATACCCTGTCTGCCCACTGTCACCCATTTATTCCATTCAAGTGGATTTATATACTGATTAGGTTATAGATTTATAAACTGATCAGTTATCCAGTGAAAATTCTTCATTGTCTCACAATGAGCTCTTAGGGGACACCTCATATTCAAACCTTACCCAGTACATTGTGCCATAAAATCTTAAAAATTCGGATGAGGTATATAGCAGAACCATTGTGCTATCATAAGTAAAATGACTGCTCATTATCGAGTAATAAGATAGTTGAAAAGCATTTCAATTGATTCATTAAAAAGTGGATTGTGAGACACACATTTCATAATGATCCATAATGATTTTTAGGGAACAGCTGTGTACTCCACGACTGACAAAATAAACATTTTCAGCTGTGAATGGATCCTTCCTATAAAGGGGTTCAAGGCCTGAAGATTGCTTTCACTGTCAGGTAATTTTGTGGACATAGTATAATTCTGTTCTGATCACAGTAAATGACTTTGGGGAAATACTTGAGTTTCCTCTTCTTTTTCATTTTTAATGTAAGAAAGTCAGATTTGCTGGCATTTAAGTTCCTGCTCTAAGGATCTAGACCTGGAAATCCTTGATATAGTTGAAAAATGCCACAGTCTCAAGCCCTCCACTTTCTCTAATTCTGAGAGATTTCAAATACTTATCCTCATGTGGAGATTTATTAATCCATGTGTGCCTTTAGAACTAAGTTAAGAGTATTCTGTTGATCTTCTTCTCATTCTTTTTCTGTTGTATTATTAATAATTCTTTCCCAAATTTGTAACCTCACTTTTTTGTATGTCACAATTTTCTTTGTGGCACAAATATTTTAGAAATACCATCTTCAGTTCAATTCAAATAGTATTAGGGACTTTTTTGGTATGAATCAATGAACTTTGTATTAGGCATTATTTATCTTAATTGCTTAGTATTTGGAGAATATCCTTATGTTTGAACCTTACATAAGTGCCTCATTTGCTTCACCCTGGGCTTGGCCCCCAAAAGAGTGGAACAAGAACAAATAAGCCTTGACAGAATTTTGTTATAGAACAGACCAATTAATTAAAAAGATAGATAACACATGTGTAAGTAAAGTGGACACCAGTAAATGGATTAGCTCAATACTTTATGGAGAAAACCCTCAAAGAGAATTGTGGGGGGTGGGGACATAATAGAGACAGCGAAGCATTCAGATAGGGCATTTCCTTTTCCTGAACTTGCCTCATAGAACTTCAAACTTGCCCTTATACACAAATTTGTTCCATATTCCCCAGTCTGCAATGGACAGACAGGTGGTATATGCTGATTAAAGCTTATCCAGGGGCCAAGGCCCTGAAAGTTCTTTATCTCTGTCTCTTCCCTAAGGTAAGTGGTTTTATGTCTCCTTTTGGCTTTTACATAATCAGAGTTAGATTTTCCTTTTAAGTTCATGGTTTTAAGTTATTTCTGGAAATAAAATTGTTGTTATAAAATATAAGTCGTTCTATGTTACTGTTAGGTGTAGTATAGTTTGCTTGAAGATAATGACTTTGGACAAAAAGGTGTGTAAATTTTTCTTTTATCAAGGTATTCAGCATGAAATATGATCATGTGGTTTACTGAGTCTGAGATGAATTACCCTAAAACATAATATTTTACATATAAGAACAAAGAAAAATTTTAAGAGAGATATTGCAAGCATGCTGTAATAACAACTTAGATTACTCTAAATCTCTCTATAAAATAATAATCCTACAATTGAATTGCAGTGCAGTTGCATCTACAGCTTTCTGTCAGTATACAAAGTTCAGATTTAGTAATTAACACCCTCTTCCTTCCAAAGAGAAGGGAGATAGTCATATTCAAGATCAAAGACTTGAATTATAATTACAACCCAATAGTTTCTAACTTGAAAAGTATAACAACTTAAATGGTCACAAGATACTGGAGCATATTAGTAACAAGCTTGTTTAAATTTTGTTGACATTGGCACACTTCTTTATGTCAGGGGATTTAGTAATCTTAGTGAAAGAAATAGAAAGGCTGAGGAGATATAATATATGATGGCCTGACCTGGGGACACATGAGGAGGCTAGAAACTGAAGCAGAAAATGTGTATAAAATTGCCCTGATGTAGTATTACCTTCTGCAGTCTACAGAAGATAATACTACATCATGGCAATTTTATACACATTTTATACAACTTGGACATTAATAACACTACAATTGATTTCCAAGTTGATATTCATTTCATATTGTGACAGTCATATGAATCAGAACTTTTAGTAATTCTTGTTATAAGTTTGAAACTATTAAATTATCAAAGTCATGAAGAAAAAAGTCTTACAGTCATCCAACAAGTTGCACTATAATCTATACATGGAATAAGAGGAAATTAGAAGATTTTGATAACTACAGGGAGAATTTGAGTGAGCCAGTCATTATTCTGATGGGACAAAACAAATCTCTGTTTTCCTCTGTTCAGGCATGGGAAAAGTGGATTGGTGAGCTTGTTTAAAGGGGAATCAGAAAATGAACTGAACATAGAGAAATGTTTTGAGGCTTTGTCCACACATTACCTTCTGTAATCTTAGAAAATTTGTCTACTCTAATTACAATTGTTATCATACAAAATATCACCCTGAATATAAATCTGAAAAAAATACTAGAATAAAACAGAGCAAACGGTGTGACTATAGAATACTGAAGTGATAGTGTGAAGATTTTTCTATTATGGACTCTTTGTCTAAACTGTTCATGTTGTGGCAAATGTGTAACACAGAGATGAGGTGGATCAAGGCAGTCAAAGAAACCAGCAAGGGAGAGGTGAGCAATGACCTGTTTCACTTGTGGCCAAATGGCCAAAAAGGCTTTATGTATCAGGAAAAAAAGAAAGGTAAAAGTTATGGAAACTGCCTCTAGAGGTTATTTATTCATCCAAAAAGAAGCATCTGCCCATGCCAAGAATGCTCTAAACACTAAGGACAGGAAAGAAAACAAGATAGAGAATTTTTTTGCTGCATACCATTTCTATTACCCTGGAGGTATGCAAACAATTATCAAAAGCCAAAATCTGTGTAGAAGACTTGATAATACCATCAAGTGCTAGTGAGAAAAAAAGTTTCAAGAGCAAATTAGTATTTAGGTGTTTGAGATGATGTCACAGAAAACACAAAAATTATTAACAACCTGCACTAGAAGGTGATATGGAAGTCAAGACCTGAGGAAAGTGAGGGACAAAACCATGCTCTGGGACAAAATCCTTCCAAGAAGTTGGATGAGCAAATGCAGAAACCTTGGAATGAGAACACACATGTTCATCAAGTAGGAGGAATATGCAGACAGCATGTATGAGCAGATGGAGACAAAATCAGGTAATGCTGACCCAGATTGAAGAGGGATTTTCAAACCATTTTATATACTCGTGTCTGCTTGATGGAAATCTATTTAAAGGCTTAGAACAATGGATATGATATAATATACTGCTTATACCAAATACTAATTAGTCCTAAGCAGGTACCTCCAGGTAACTAAAGTTCACCTGGCCTCTTCCAGTGCTCAGCTGTAACTCCATAATCTCAGCAGAAACTCTTACACCAGAGTAGGCACAAGACACTCCACTTGATTCCTTAAATTTTAGCATGAATGAATAACACATTTTAAAATTCACTTAAATTGCCTTAAAATTTTTTTAGACAAAACAAAAACTACTGTTGATTGAATAGTTACCATGTCCCTGACTGTAGACTTAGAATTTTAGAATTATTTTATATAAATTTCTACAAAATCTTATGAAGTAGGTATTATCCACATTTTATAAGTGAGAAAAGTTGTGGTGTATGAAGACTGTCTCAAATCTCAGGTCTGCTAGATTTTGGGAAAAAACCCTAACAACTCTGTTCTTAATCAATGCTAGACTAAGGTGATAAGCATTAATGTAATGACTGTATGAAATGTTCTTCTTTTGCAAACAAATTTGAAGTTCCAAGGAGAGATGAGTAAGGAAGAAAAAAGACAGAAGCGTAAAATAATGTACATATAGAAAACTAGAAGGAAATCCATCCTAATGCTATTTTAGGCTTATTCACTGGGTTGGATCACTCTGGGTCACAATAGCTTTTATTATTATTAGAAATTCTAGACCAATACTGCCCCTGGGGCCTTGGAGTCTCCAATCCCCACCTCCACTTATTCAACAGGTGCCAAATAGAGCCAGATGATAACTTACATTCCACATTTTTTAGTCTAATGTAATGTTTCCTTCCATAGCATTCCTTTCTCATATTTTACTCTACAGCCATTCCTCAGCATCCACAGAGGACTGGTTTGAGAATCCCTGTATATACCAAAATCTGTGGATGCTCAAATCACATTTAAAATATTGTATTATTTGCCTACACCTTATGTGCATACTCTTGCATACTTAAGTAATATCCAGATTACTTAACAGTAACTAAGAGAATTTAAACACTATTTAAATAGTTGCTAAGGTGCATTGTTCAGGGAATAATGACAAGGAAAAAATACATATATATTTTCAGGACAGGTACAATATGTTTTGCCTGTGAATATTTTTGATCTGCAGTTATTTTAATGTGCAGATATGAAACCCAAGGATAAGGGGGTTGATTGTTCTAAATTCTGTTTCTTTGAGAGTAGTTTAAAAAAGCTAACTCATGTGTATGAATGTCATAATTTTAATGGGAGAGACCATTAGTGTTTGTGTGCAATCTGAGTTATACAACTCAATTTCTCCCAGTGGCAGTATTGAAAAAAAAAAGTAGAACTTGCCATATAGGTCTTTTTGGAATATGTAATGTAATGAGAAAAAAAGATATTATACATATTGGATATTGAAATTTTTTTAACATTTAAATCAAAACAGGTAATCATCTACACTAAGAAATATTAGAAAAATAGAAAATATATATGTTGACAGCTACAGATAAATTAGAAAACCTTTACTTCTAATGGTCTTGGCCTCAATAATAATTTTAAAAAAACAATATATAAAGGAATGTATGAAATACATTATAAATCAAAATGAGGAGATCTTACAATTAAATCACATAAAGGAGGTATTTAAGCATGAGTTTGAGCAGAATAGCTAAGAGATAAACTATCAGAATTATTTCCTGCTAACTTGATTTACTTTGGGGAGCTATATCCCAGTGTTTCTCTATATTTTTATTTTTGAATAAGTTCCTCTTCATTGTTTTTCCCTATGAAATCCCTGTTTTAACATTGTCTTGAAGCAAAATAAATTGACATTAGATTAATTTATAATCATATTTCATAAATTAATTAACATAATTTCAATGTATGACAAACATGAGATATTATATAATTATTGACATGATTACTTAGAAAAACAAAGATGTCTGATATTTTGTTTAGACTATGCAATGTTTTAGGCATAAGTACATGTTACATTTAACAACTACAGTCTCTCCTTATCTGTAGATTTGCTTTTTGCAGTTTCAGTTTCCTGTGGTCGACATTGGTCTGAAAATGTTAAAATAGAAAATTCCAGACATAAACAATTCATGTTTTCAACTGCATGCTATTATCAGTAGCAGGATGAAATCTTATACCATCTTTCCTCTGGAAATGAATCACACCTTTGTGACCCGCCTGTTAGTCACCAATTTGAATTTGGTGTTTAAATTACCCTTATCTGAATTGTAGCCCCCACATGCAAAAGTAATGGTGTGGACAATTCAGTTGTACTGAAGACAAGCCATAAAGAGCTTCCTATAAATGGTATTGTGAAAGTCCTCTAATTAAGGCAAGAACAAATATCATGTGCTGAGGTTGCTGACATGTGTAATAACAAGTCTTCTACCCATGAAATTGTGAAGAAGGAAAAAGAAATTCAGCTCGTTTTGCTTTCTCATTTTAAACAGCAAAAGTTACAGCCATAATGTGTGATGAGTGCTTGGTAAATATGGAAAAGTGCGTGTGTGTGTGTGTGTGTGTGTGTGTGTGTGTGTGTTTGTATAAAAGACAGTGAATAGAGAACTTGTTGCTGTTCATAGTTTCAGACATCTTTGAAGGGGCTTAAAATATCCCCTCAGTAAGGGAGAACTACGGAGTTGAAATACTGAAAACAATGTCGTCACTAAACAAAACATTCTTCCTTGAATGCCATACATTTTACACAATTTGGAGATGACTATTTCAGAATAGTAAAGCAGAATGGAATTATTGTATATCACTGTTAGGGTGTGTAAACAAGTCAAGATGGCGTCTGGCATTTTGCGAGGGGGCGTGGTTAGTGAAGTAACCCCAGAGAGCCATTAAGTGTGGAGATTCCTTATTGGTTGACTGCTGTATCTAATTTATGTTAATTAAGATAAGCTGTGTGGAATGTATATATATCCTTCTTGTCCTACAATAAATGGCTCCCACTCATGCTGTATCAACCTTCACAAGTTCCTCGTCACCCCCTGGTTATTTTGCTGCAGCTGGACTGCGGCATATCACCAGCACCTAACATAGTACTTGGCACTAAATGGAGCCTCAAAAATACATTTTGAGTGCTGGGGTTGTGGCTCAGCAGTAGAGTGCTCACCTAGCACAAGCAAGACCCTGGGTTCAATCCTCTGCACCACATAAAAACTACAGATATTGTGTTCAACTACAGCTAAAAGATAAATGTATATTTAAAAAACATTTTTAATAAATGAATGTTCTCTTTAGAATTCTTTGACTTATTGTCTACAATAGCATATGCAATTTATTTTTGTATAGCAATTGGGAATTTTCAAAGTGTCCTCACATAGATCGCATTTGATTCTCATACTAATCCTTTTTATAGAAAATATGTGCAAGTATTCCTGTTTTATCAATGAACAAACTCTCGGTTGAATCTAAGAATCTATCCTGTGTAATGCTACTTTGAAGATGGTTGATAGAGTTTCTTTCCTGCCCCAAATCCTCAAACTGTATCTCATGGTTTATATGTTGGATTATACAAAGCACCACCTTTGATTTTTGTGCCAGACATCCTCAACCTAATTTACCAAGTTTTTTGGTTGCCTCCTTAATTGTTTTAAATCCCAAAAGGCCCCCAAGGGCCACCTGGCAACAAACGGCCTGGAAAACTGGCCGGGCCGGGAAAAATCCTCCTCCGAAGGGGAATGGGGTGAAGAAAGTCCAAGGAAAGGAAACAAAGGAATTGCCTCAAAAAAACCAACCCAACCCCAACAAAAAAAAAAGGGGAACTTAACAATAATTGGCCAATGGAAAATTAAGGAAAAAAGAAAAAAAAGAAAAATTACAAGACAACACTTTGCCCATTTAGCCCACGTCCACATTGGAAACTTCACATTTATTTCCTATTTCTCTTTCTAATTATTCTGAGCATCATTATGTATATTACCCCCATACATGTGCTCCAATAACAGTTGTGACCCAAAGATTGTGATAACAGAAAATTAAAGATTCTAATTATGTACCTTTTATTAAGTACCTACTTAATTCCAAATGGCAGTAGACAAGCCCTCCCTTGGAAACAGCACAATTACAATCATTCTGAAGATGAGAGAGTTCAAGCGACAGTATAAGCAATTTAACAGTTTTAAGTAATTCCCTTAAGCAGACTTATCTAGTAGATAATATGGAACCTGATATCTGCAGGAGTTCACTTGTTCTGTGTTTTTCTCTTGTTTGTTTATATAGAATGTCTCCAAACTAGAACCCTTGGTTACCACAATACAATTGGTTTCATCTGTTCACATTAGTTTGTTGAAATAACCTAGTTTCCTTAAAGTGATGACGTATACATTCCACCACACATTTGGGTATCTAACCCTCTTAATGTATTTTCCCCTTTATTTAGTGATATCCTTAACACAAAAACACCCATGGAAAAGAGCAGTGTGGATATTCAAGAGAAGAGGAATTATACAACAGGTAATTTTGTGCCTTTAATTTCCTAAGAATAAGCTAATAATCAAGAGTAAAACTAAAACAGACACATGGACAGAGGGAGCACCAATCGATAACAGAGAGGAGTGTGGGTAGATGGGGAAGAGATAAGGAAAGGAGGACATTCCAGAAACCATAAAAAGAACAGGCAAAATCTCCCCCACCAGATTCTTCCCCGCTCTTGGACCCCTTGTCTTTGGAGAAGTCTATCTCTGTATCTCTGTGGCTTTTGTAATAAACCTACTTCTTGCTTGCTACCTCTGTGTCCTGTTCTTCAATTCTTTGCTGAACAGAAACAACAAACCCAGCACCCTTAGATGGTAATAGTCACAATCAAAGACTTCTGAGTATTTATAACAATGCGTATGTGTGGTTGTTTGGGGTGCAGCAGGGACAGATTAGAAATACAACACTTATTTATTCCTAGAGACACCACATCAATTACAGTGCCCTAAACATTGGCTTCAACTCCAGGATAAATGCTTGACTATTTCTAGTTCTTTCAAAACTTGGAATGACAGTCTAGCTGACTGCTCCCAAGGAGAATCCAGTTTGCTGCTCATCCAAGATCAGGAAGAATTGGTAAATTGTTAAATAAAATTCTTTATATAACTTAACACTTTTTAAAGACTGCATCAAGACAGCTGGACTTCAGCCAAAGTTTCTGTGTAATGGAAGTAGAAACTTTGACTTCAAGAAGCTCATAATTTGGGAGACTGAACAGTCATATAACAATTTAATATAATATAATAAATTCAAAAGAAATAGAAATATATTAGAGAGAAATATCACAAAGAAGAAAGAAAGAACTCATTGGGGAGTTGGGGAATTAGGAAAGACTTCAGAGAGGAGGTGTTTCTTGAACTACACTTTAGGGGATGAGAAGAATACAAATCATGGTTAGATAAACAGGTTCAATATTAAGTCATGTATTTTGTTTCAATTATAGAGATTCATACAGAACCTGATTAAGAATGAAGGAAATCTGTATTGGATTGGACTAAATTTTACATTATCAGAGAAGAAGTGGAAGTGGATAAATGGTTCTTTATTAGATCATGACAGGTGAGCTCATTTGAATATGTAGTTCACATCAGGTTCACATTGCAAAATAGTCACATTAATGAATATTGAAGATTGAATTTTATAGTGTTAATTTGGCTCAGACATTCTCCATAGGTTCAAAATAGGCTGGGAAGATGAATAACTCCAAAGTTAATTGGAAAATACTATGTATGAAAAGACACCAGCCCTTTATAAGAACATATGTTTGCATCTTCAATGGAGTGTTAAAGGACAAGGACTAACTCTTTGGAAGGGATACATAAATTTCTTTTCAAAATGTCTCCATGGAGACTATTGGCACATAGAATTTCCAAAGCAGTATTTTTAAAATTGTGATGAAAAAGCATCATAGTGGATCATGAACCAATTCAGTAGGTCACAACCAGCATAGAAAAGATAAAAGATTAAAAAGGAAAAAATAGTAAATATCAGAGTGTGGAACTTGGATGCAGGACAGGGACTACCTGCATTGAGGCAAACATTATAGTATATTTAGCCAGTGTTATGAAAGAGACAGTTATTTTGAGGAATGTGAGAATATATGCATAAACCACAGAAAAGCCACTTGTTATTTTCTCTTAAGTATCTCATTTTTTCTTGAATAATATTGTCAAGAGAGCCCTCAATATTAAATTACACATTTTTTAACAGAATTCATGGATAGTTGTATAGCAAAGAGCAGAGTATTCTTTTCTTGCACAAGCAAAAGCACATAGGGATCCAACCAAGTTTCACATTCAATGAGTTTTTATCAAGAGATGATATTGAGTGTTAGTTTAGTGGATCTTGAACAATTTAATTAAATTTGCATAAATTGAGACTTAAAATGTATTTTTTAATCATTCAAAAAACAAGAGGTTGAAATGTAAAACAATGGAACATTCAGGGTTATGTACAATACAGTGCTAATGTATTAAGTATGGACAATATTAAACATTAAAAAGAATGTTGGCTTAATTGGCAAATTTTGACATTATAGAGCCCATCTTCTAAAATATTTTTAACTATGAGATTTTTAAATGAAGATTATTCAAAAATAATTTGACCCTTTTGAAAAAGAAAATATATATCTGTTTAATTAATTCTATCCTGATTTTTCATAATGTTTTCTGGGTATTTTTTCTATACTTTATTTATATTGAAATTAAGTTTGAGTTTGGTGTGCTGGCACACACCTGTAATCCATGTTACTTGGAAAGCTGAGAAAGTTCAAGGCCAGCCTCAGCAACATACAAGACCCTGTCTCAAAATAAATTAAAAGGTCTGGGAATGTAGTTTAGTGATTAAAGTCCCTTTAGTTAACTGGGCTATGATGTAAAAGGCTTATTTCATTGTAGTCATAATAAAAATAAAATTTGAAAACATGTAAGTGTCTGTGAAGAAATATATGCAGTGGATGGATTAAATTCATGTGAGCCTCCTACTTTAGCCTGAGGATAAAATTGGAGGCTTTGAGATGTAGTCACCAGGTCCACCTTGGAAGCTGTTGTGGTACAGTAGAAGGGGATCCAGTTAAATTTTGCATTGATTTCAACTTTCTAGAACCTTGTTTTCAAATAAAGGGAAAGAAAGGAGAGGATAATATATTTCTATAAAATTATTTGGGAATTAAAGAGGATACTGTCAGAGAATTCATCAGACATCTGGTTAGGGAAGGACCAGCAAGCCACTGAAGGCCTTTTGAAAGAGAGTCACTGACTTGGCCAGATTGGCCTTAAAGAAATTACCCCCCAAATCGAAGAAATACTTCGAAGGATGTGAGACATAAAATCTAGGGGGTTTCCAACAGTCCAGTTAAGGAAAGTTCACGGTTTGACCAGAAGACTGGCACTGGAATAAATCAGATTAGCTGCTCAGGCCCAATGGGAACATGAAGAAGAGGAAGAAAGGAGAAAAACAAAAGCCATGATGGAGCCCTGACCACTGCCTCTACCACCTTCTGTTTGAGACAAACATAAGGGAGCCTTAGATTCACCTCTCCCTTGCAGCCAACCCCATATTAGCCCTTCCCTTTGTTCAAATTTTATTCTCATCCCCACCTACAATAAACCACAATATCCATTGTTGTTGGAACTAAAGTAGATTGAAGCAGATACCCACCAACCTCTGCTTGGAATGAGGATGAAAGGAACTCTGACTACATGCACATGAACTGCATCTCCATTCCCCTGCATCCACTTCTATAGACCTTACATAGGCTTTCTTCATCAGGTCTCAGTTACCAAAACAGGCTTTGGTTAAGCACTGTCATACATTTATGTTTCCTCTCAGTGCCTCACCCAACATGTGGTTATAACTGATATATTTAAGAAAAATGAGGCTCAGTGAAGTAAAGAGACTTCACAGAATGTATTACAAAATAGGGAGGTTTAATTCCCCGTTTCCAAAGCTTCTATATATGTGTGTATTCATTCTCAAGTTTCTTGTTAGAAGGATTCTTTCCAAGTGAAGATGAAGTTCCAGAGATTTATATTAACTTTATCTTAAAATTTTATATCATTACGTTTGAGAAAATCCCAAACAGTAAGAGAGGTTTTTCTTTTTCTCCTCAGATTACAAATTTTTGGTGAAAATAAAGAAAACAGCTGTGCTGCTATCTCAAGATGAAGGTATTTTCTGAGATCTGTAATTCAGAAAACAAATGGATCTGTGAAAAGAAACTAAAGCCTGTCAGAAATAAAGTATCTTGACTATGAAGCCCATCTCATTTTTAAAAAATTTTTCATTACAGATCTCTGTGATTTTAATTCTGTGTATTGTAAAAACTGTAGATTTAGAGGCATAAAGTGAACAACTGCAGAGAATTCTAAAACTATAAGGAATCTTACAGAATGTCCAATCCATGTATTCTGTAAGTGAAAAAAAAAAGACACAGACATATCATTTTAAGAGACAGTGATATTCTATAGAAAGTAGACCAGGACAGCTGAAAGGAAGTGAATTTTAATCCTGAAGAGAAAATGTGGCCTTTGCTAATCCCCCTAAGCCTCAGCTCAGATGAAGTCTAGTAAATTATTCCTAAAGTCCTATGCAACTCTTATAGTCTGTCTTATTCTGTACTATATCACACAACTGAGTTGTGGAAGAACATGATGAAAATCCTTTCTCTCCACTCTGACACCAGATCCATAAATAAAGGAGTCTGGGAAGGAGTCCACTGTAGTCTGGATGTCCCCTTCAAAACTCTTGCTGAAATTGAGTTGTTATTGCAACAGTATTCAAAGGTAAACCCCTTAAGATATTAACCCATGCAGGTTCCACCATCACCAATTAGCTTAATACTGTTACCATGGGAGTGGTTGTTAGGAAAGAGAGCTCTCACCACGTGGCGCCCTCCACCATGTCATGATGCAGCAAGAAGCCCTCACCAGGTGTTGGCATTCCCAGCCTTCAGAACTATGAGAAATAACTTCTTTTTCTCTCAGGTCTTCTGTTATAGTAACAGAAAATGGACTAATACAGGTTTTTGGCTCTTCTCACCTTTCCACAGGCCTTCCCATTTTCATTTTCTAAACACTTCCTTTCTTCCACATCTCCTTCTTACTATGGCTCACAAACTATACCCAAAATGTAATCATATCTTTCATTATTCTAATAAAAAAATGACATGTTTTCTTCAGCTCTTCAGTTGGGTGAATTAAAGTAAAACCAAAAAGAATTGTTTATTCTTTTAGATCCCTTGAATGTTCACTTCTCTAAAAATATGCACATTTTCCTATGGAGACAAGTAATGATATTGAATTTACTTTAAATTAATAACATTTCTGTAAAAGTAGACATATACTTACCCTAACCATTCAATGCCAAATTAAATTATATAAATTCAAGTAGTATAATGGCCAAAATATCTTGATTTTATTTTCTAAGATAGAAAATTTATAATACTTATTAATATGTTTTCACATGCCATAAGTATATTAAAATCTAAGTATAATTTATCTTATGAAAATTACACAGGAAACAAATTATTTAGGAAAACATCTTAAGTGAAAACATCATTATAAAACAAAACAGCACATAATAATAGTGATATTTTAAAGTTTATGGCACCTCTGGGATAAGACCTGTAATGACACTAACAGAATAGAAATCTGAAGAAATGTTTCTATAACTGACAATGTGCAATCATGCCTCTTGGAAAGGTGACCATAATAACATTCTAAAATGATTTAGGATAAGACTCTGTAAGTCCATTCATTTAGCTCAGAATTTATTCTTCACATTGACCTTTTCCACCCCTCCTTAGGACTAAAGGCAAATGAACCTAAAGCATATATCTACAAGAAAGTTTTCCAGTGAAGCTAACTTAAGAAGTTAAATAATCTATCATTGTCATTTCTATTTCAGTGTTAAATAATTAACTAAATTAATATTAGATAGTATACTGCTGAGATCCCCTCAAACAATAAAGGAAGTAAAACTCAGAGTATAAAGGAAGTAAAATCTACATGACTTTCATGTCCAATCATCTCTAAGTAGGTTTAAATAACTTTAGGTCTTAGGGCAAAATATTTGGTTGCAGTATTTGAGTAAATGTTCATTGAAATGATTTGGAACTCTAAGTCAGAACCATAAAAGATACTTAGTATAGCACTCAAGGGAAGAATTTACAGTGTTGATGGGAATGAAAACTGATATAGCCTTCATAAGAAATATTATGGAGTTTCCTAAAAAAAATAAAAAAAAATAGAACAACCAAATGATCCAGTAATTCCACTTCTGGATATAAGACAAAAATCTGAGATGCACCAAACATAATCATAAAGGCTGGTATACTGATGGTGGCAGAAATATAAGGGAACTTAATCAATGAACAACTAATTATAGGCCAAAGCCAAAGAATAGACTTTCACTTTCCTAAATATATGTTAAAACCTTGACTAATGACCCCTAGTGGCCAAACCCTGAAGCTACCTCCTCTTCTTTGTACACACTTTCCACACTAAATTTATTTAATCCAGAAGCAACAATTACTTCTATTTGTGGACTTCCATCTGATATCAAAAATTTATCTACTTTTTATTATCCCTTTATTTCAGTCAGCTTTTCCACTGCTATGACCAAAAGACCTGACAAGAACAATTTCAGAGGAGGAAAGTTTTATTTGGCACTCATGGTCTCAGAGGTCTCGGTTCCTAGATGGCCACCTCCATTGCTCTGGGTCTGAGGAGAGGCAGAACTGTGGAGGAGGAAAGCTGCTCAAGACAGGGCAACCAGGAAGGAGAGAAAGAGAGCACTCTACTCACCAGGGACAAAATATGAACCCTGAAGGCATGTCCCCAGTGACCTACCTCCTCCAACCACATGCTATCTGCCTACAGTTATGACTCAGTTAATCCATATCTGTGGATTATTACATTGACTAGATTAAAAGCTCCCTTAACCCAATCATTTCACCTCTGAATGTTCTTGCATTATCACACACTTGAGGCCACACAGAAGAACCATAACATTCTACCCCTGTCCCCCAAATGCTCATGCCCATCTCACGATTCAAAATACATGGTGGTGCATGCCTGTAATCCCAGTGGCTTGAGAGGCTGAGGCAGGAGTATTGTGAGTTCAAAGCCATCTCAGCAATGGCAAGGCCTGTCTCTAAATAAAATACAAAGACAGAGCTGGGAATGTGGCTCAGTGGTTGAGTGCCCCAGAGTTTAATCCCTGGTACCCCATCCCTGGCAAAATATATTTAATCTATTTCCAAGTGTTCTTGTAATTTTAAGAGTTCCACCATTACTCAAACATCCAGACCCAAAGTCTCTTGAGCCTCAACGTAAACTCCTACCATGAGCCTCTGTAAAACACCAAAAGCAAATCACATATATCCAGTATATAAGGGCACACACTAGATATTTTCATTATGTAACAAAGAAATAAGAGCTTAGAAAGAAGGAATGGAACCAAAGAAAGACTGAAACCCAGCAGGGTAAACAAGTCCTGTAGTTCCTCCTCCAGCATCTGGGGCACAGAGCATGGTGATCCTTGCCCCTGAGGCCTTGCTGGTTGCAGGCCACATGACCTCTCTCTAGGCTTGTTTCTGCTCAATTCCTACAGCTTTCTTCCAAAGATACCCCATGTTAATGGCATCTCTTAATCCAGGGCTCTCCAGTGCAGTTCTGGCTTTCTTGCTATATCCTCAGGCACTACCTTTTCCGGGGCAGTCCTGTAGGGACTTCTAACCTGCTGCAATTTGTCTGATCTCCCTGACCTTCCTTTCAAATCTTAGTGGAAGCCTCCAAGACCCTGTAACTCCAGCATTGTGCCTTCCTGAAAAACCAGCACTGAAGGATATGGAAAATGGTTACCCAAGACAATGTGACCCGGGAGTAGGAAGGGAGGAAGAAGGCAAAAACATTGATCCTTCCCCAATAAATCCTTTCCCAGTGACAAGACAATATCTGAGAAGGACACACACATCAATCCTAAAATGGCAGTCCCAGGTTAAACATTTATTCTTTACAATATAATGACCCCCGGAGCAAAAAGATAAGCACTGAGACCCTCCATCCTTTTCCAGTAAAAACAAGTTTCAAATTTTTTTCCTGAACACCCAAACTGACACATTCTGACAAGTCTCCAATGATTAACTCACCTTTCAGTGTAACCTATAGAACCCAGACCTCTCCTATAACCAGAGGCCATTTTCTACCCAGAAAGTGAGCCCTTCTGATGCCTGACAGCCAAGTAAAAGGCACTGCTGTTCTGTGAGGGCTGCTCCATGGCCTTCATTTGTGCTTACAAGCACCATGAGGTTGAAGCCAAGATCTGCCATCACCTCAAGCAGGAGTCAGGAGCTAAGCCTCCTGGGACCATGGCTACAGGAACCTCTGAGCATCTGAGTAACTGAACCCAGTGAAACAGCTTCCTAAGTTCCCTGTGTAAACAGGGTGCCCCACTGGTCTCTTTCCAAAAAAATTTTTACCTTTACTCCCTTGAGCCTGAAATGGGTCTGGTCATACCAATTCCTGAGCTGCTCTTTCCTGAGCTCCAACTTTCCTGTATCTCTGGATAAAGTCTTCAGCATTTCTAAAGGACTAAGGAACATAGGAAAGATCTTCCCTCTCCATGTGCCAGCCGTGACCTTTGCACACCCTTGATGGAACATCTAAACCAGGCGGCCTTCTGGGTGGTTTGGCTCACTCTTGAGCACTCTGAGTTGTTTACTTCTCTCAAGGCTATCACTCCCTTCCTTCCAGGAGCTGGCCAGGCTGTGAGGATAAGTGTCCTTGAGCAGATCACTTGGTCCTGCAGGCTGTTAGAACTGAGCTCTCTTTGTTCTACCTTGTATTTAAGGAGGAATAAGACTTTGGAGCTTCACCCATGGAAAAGCCACTCTGCCCAGGACTTCCCAGTCAGGACCTGAAGAGCTGCCCAGGACTCCTCAGCTGCATGACTTCAGGGGTGGCTGTTTCCCTGAATTGATGATGTATTTTCAGCTCTTCCTCTCTTGCCTACCACTTTTGCTTTTTTTGCTCTTGCTTTCATATTGTTCCTAAAATAAATGCTATTTTGTTTAAAGAGTGTCTTCATTGTCTGTCGGGTCTGACCTACAAAATTCAGCAGCTGCACACATACCTATTGCTTTAATGTCACAATTTCTTTAGTGAATGTAATGTCTTTAACAACCATAACTTCTTCAACCACAGTTTTACTCACACCTTTCTGGCCAAATGGGAAGTTTTTCAAATCTTGCTGCT